ACTTTTTTCCCTTCAATATTCCATAGAAAAAAGATTTTTGAGCAGTGGCAATAGTCCAGGAGTGATCTGAAACTATCTAGTTGGTATAACTAGAAGACAAGAAGAATAGCACTTTCTAAAAAAAGGGATGAGGAATATTTTTCATAATAAATAAAATAACTTCGTTATATAGCTACTAAGCTGCAGACATACTGGCTTTTAAGCTCTCGTGTCTATATGAATTTAGTAGACGGTAGATTTTGAAAATGGGTTTATCCCCTGGAAATTGTGCTATCAGTGTACTTCCAAAAGCTATCCCTTACTGCTGAGATGTCAAAAACATTTATCTCTATACATTATCTTTAATAAAAAATAAAACAAGAAAATAAGATAAAAACAGAGAGGGAAACAAACTATAATAGAATCTTAAATATAGAGAACAAAATGAGGGTTGCTGGAGGGAAGGTGACTGGTGGGTGGATGGACTAATCAGGTGATGGGCATTAAGGAGGCACTTGCTGGGATGAGCATTGAGTATTGTAGGTGGGTGATGAATCACTGCAATCTGCTCCCAGCCAGTGCTGCGCTGTATATTAACTACCTTGAAGTTAAATAAAAAATATATGTATACTTTATATATGTAAAATATATATCTTACAAATAGATATCTATATAAATATTAAGATATTATACTTTTATATACAATATGTCAACATTTGTATGTTCATGATCTCAGGGTCGTGACATTGAGTCCCACATTGACCATGACCTTGCTTAAGATTCTCTCCCTCTCCCTCCCTTACGTACTGGACTAATAATAAAAATAAGAGTGTCTGATGATCATACTGAGAATCTTTCAAGTAGTTTTAAAAGCATTAGCCATGAGAGAGAGCCAGAAAATATATATTAGCTCAGACTTACTCATCAGCCTCCTCTCTTCCTTCCCTTCGTCTGCACTTCTCTTGCTGGCAGTATTGCCAGGCTAAGGCGATTTATCTATTACCAGAATTATCATTTTTAAGTCAATAGAAAATAATTTAAATCATCTAACTGAATCAACCATCTAGTTCTATATAATGAGTGAATCCAGGCCCCAATATAAAATATAAGGTTCCATAGTCAATTTAATGGGGAGAGGTGTGGTATGAGACAAAGAGAGAAAAAGAGAAGAAAAGAGACAGATTGAGTGCATAATGTTTTGCATTTCCTTCATAATGTTTACATTAGGCCTACTGTCTACTATCCATTTCTTGAAACTCGGTGATTATTTTATTGTTATACTTTTAAAAGAATGTACACAATTTTGAAAAAGAAAAAGTTGGAGGCATCACAATTCTGGACAAATTATATTACAAAGCTGTAGTGATCAAGGCAATGTGGTACCAGCACAAAAACAGACATATCGATCGGTGGAACAGAATAGAAAAACCCAGAAATGGCCCCACAACATTCTGGTCAACTAACCTTCCACAAACCAGAAAAGAATATCCAATGGGAAAAAGACTGTCTCTTCAACAAATGTTGTGGGAAAAACTGGACAGCCACATGCAGAAGAATGACACTTGGACCGCTTTCTTTACATCATGCACAAAAATAAATTCAAAATAGAAGAAAGACCTAAATATAAGACAGGAAACCATCAAAATCCTAGAGGAGAACCCAGGGAGCAACTTCTTTGATATCAACCACAGCAGCTTCTTACTAGACACTACATCTCTGGAGGCAAGGGAAACAAAAGCGAAAATGAACTATTGGGACTTCATCAAGACAAAAAGCTTCTGCACAGGGAAGGAAACAATCAGCAAAACTAAAAGACAACCTATGGAATGGGAGAAGGTATTGGCAAAGGACATATCTGATAAAGGGTTAGTACCAAGAATCTCTGAAGTACTTATCAAACTCAACACCCCAAAAATAAATAATCCAGCCAAGAAATGGGCAGGAGACATGAATAAACATTTTTTCAAAGAAGACATCCAGATGGCCAACAGACACATGAAAAGATGCTCCACAACACTCGGCATCAGGGAATACAAATCAAAACCACAATGAGATACCATCTCACACCTGTCGGAATGGCTTAAATTAACACAGGAAAAAACAGATGTTGGTGAGGATATGGAGACAAAGGAACCCCTCCTGCCCTGCTAGTGAGAATGCAAACTGGTGAAGCCCCTCTGGAAAACAGTATGGAGGTTCCTCACAAAGTTAAAAATAGAACTAACTTATGACCCAGGAATTGCACTACCAAGTATTTGCCCAAAGAATGCAGAAATACTGATTTAAAGGGACACACGCACCCCGATGTTTATAACAGCATTATCAACAATAGCCAAATTGTAGAAAGTGCCCAAGTGTCCATTGACTGATGGCTAAAGAAGCAGAATATTACTTATCCATAAAAAAAGAAGGAGTGTTCACTTCGGCAGCACATACACTAAAAAAAAGAATGAAATCTTGCCATTTGCAACAATGTGGATGGAGCTAGAGAGTGAAATAAGTCAGTCAGAGAAAAACAAATACCATATGATTTTACTCATATGTGGAATTTAAGAAATGAAACAGATGAACATGGGGGGAAAAGAGAGAGAGAGAGGCAAACCATAAAACACACTTTTAACTATAGAGAACAAAGAGGGTTGATGGAGGGGAGATGGATGAGGAGATGGGCTAAATGGGCGATGGACACTTGCGATGAGCATTGGGTGTTCTATGTAAGTGATGAATCACTAAATTCTACTCCTGAAACTAACATTACACTGTATGTTAAGTAAGTAGAATTTTTAAAAAACAAATACACACACACACACACACACACACACACAAACACATATGAATGACTATATGAATGAACAAAGCTCTTCCTCCCAATAAGGTCATCTGGGAAGAAGTGGAGAATAGAAGTTAATAAAAAGGTGCCTTGTTTCAAATCCTTAGTGTGTCCTTTACCCACAGAAATTTCTCAGAAGCTGAATGGTGTTTTTCTTTATATCAAGCTGGGAGGGAGGTGCTTACTCAAAGTATCTCCCGATACTAACTTACTCTCTGGGACTCATCACAGAAAATTTTTATGGGTCTTTTTATAAAAGATAATATAGAAATTACAAATTTATGGCATACCTTCAGAAATATTAACTTTGCACAGAGGGCTGGAAGGAAAAATTCATCTTCCAAGAGTGGCCCAGACTGGTTAGATTATGCACCCGTGTAGTTGTTGCTTCAAATAAAGGGAAAAGGAAGAAGTACTCTCTAATGGGGATGTGATGAGTTGTTAACACATGGTCCAACGGGAAGAAGCAACCCAAGGAGTATTTACTACCTCTTGGGAATTTACTGCCTCAAGAGAGTAACTCTGCATGATTTCTTTCTTTATTCTTTGTAAAGATCATGAAAATCATCATGGAATTAAATTTTAGTGCCTCTTTGTAACCTTTGATGTTTTTTGGCGCACATAAACTTTTAAGCTTCTTCAAAAATTTGAAAATCATCCAGAGGAAAAAAGACATCCTGGTACATGGAGGTGGTGAAATCCAACGGGTATTTAATCTTTTCTGAGTCCTTTCAAAGTCTTTGATTAGGTATCATTTCTATTTCCCAAAGAAACAGTTTCAAAGAGGTTTAAAGTATTTGTGTGGTAATTGGCAAAGTCAGCCTCTGAACCCAGATCTCTGATTTCAAGGCCGGGATTATTGATTGCTCTTTGAGACCTGGATCTTTGGATGTGTTCTAAAAAGAGGCAGGAATGCGCACATGTGAGCCGATTTGAGTAACTTCATTTGTTGACGCCAGCATGTTTAACACTCCATTACTGTCATTAAAGCCTTATCACCTAGTTATTAGGTTTTGTTTTTTTGTTTGTTTGTTTGTGTTTTTTTTTTTTTTTTTTTTTGAGGGATCAGAGACATCTCTAGCTAGGAAGGTCACAAGTGAAATGAGACTTGAAATAGTTCTAGAGGTGCTCATGCCTGAAATATTACCTGCTTCTGGTGCATGTGACTCATCAGCATGGAAAGTTTTTAAGATTTTTTTTTCAAATAATAAGACATAACAGTGCCTAAGAGTGCTGGGGAATGGGAAAGGAAGAAGTGTTCAAAAATGGACAGATATGGGGTGTCTGAGTGGCTTAGTCGGTTAAGCGTCCGACCCTTGATTTCAGCTCAGTTCATGATCTCAGCGTCGTGACACTGAGTCCCACATTGACCATGACCTTGCTTAAGATTCTCTCCCTCTCCCTCTGCCGTTCCACACACCCCCTGTGCTCTTTCTCTTAAATACATAAATAAAATCTTTTTTTTTAAAAGGAAAGAAAATGGACAGATGTGCCCTATTTCTTATTTGAGTGAGAGACTGACTTCAATGAATTTTTTAAAATTCCATAGAAGAGTTTATCACTGATAGACCATAGATAATTCAGATGCTCTAAGACAGGCCCACACTTCCCATTTATAACTAAATATAACCCTTTTTCTTATATGGAATCTGGAGATTTAATGTCCCAGACTCTGAACCCAGATATTTGACAAAAAGTTTAGATATCGATCTCAACAAGGCAGCCAGAAGCAAATTTCTGCAGGTCCCTTACTATATCGCACAAGGGAGATAGGTCATAACCCAGAAATAAGCACACATGAAATTTAAGGTAGGAAATCAAGTCTCCAAATAATTGCTTATCTGGCAACACAATGCAATAGAAAGGGCCAGTGGAGGTGGGGAGCGGAGGAGAAAAAGAAACCCTTTGTCTGTTGCTGGTTGGGCCACAAATTGGAGCTGAATTTCTGGCAAGAGACAAACTTCTCTGAATCCATTTCTGCATGGATACAACGAGATCATTGAATTACGCCCATTCCAGACTTAACGTGGTGAGTCGGCATTCATCCCTATCTTCAGTAGCCTTCCTCGGAAGCTTAACAGGTCACACAAGAAGAGACGTGTACTGTCTTGGTAATCACATCTGTAAATTGATTGGGATATTTTAAGAACTTGAGGAGAATCTTTTAACGCCTTTTCTTGCTCCTTTCTAGGATTATCTGGGAGCTTGCATTGTCCTCACGGCATCTATTGCCTCCATCAGCGGCTCTTCCAATTCTGGATTGGTGGGTTTGGGTCTTCTGTATGCACTGACGGTAGGTATGGACGAAAACACCTCTTTTCACGTAGTGTTGGAGGTACTTTCTCTAGTTGTTATCAGCTCCTATTCATGGACATAAGAGGAGCAGATTGAAATTTGTAACAAAATGACATCTTGTAAATAATGGAGATTGGAGCCTAAACCCAGCATTTTAGGACACTGTGGATTCAGTTCTGATACTGCAAACTGGTTTTTAGAAACTCCTCAAAAACTATGGTGAGAGCACTCCCAAGGCTATTTGAGAGCCTTGTCTTAAGTTGTTCACAGCCTATTTGGGGACACTAAAATGAATATGAATATAAATGAGATAAGTGCAAACAGAGGTACATGCAATTTGTGCAGGGAAATCAGAGGACAATTTATGAATCATTGACATGTGAGGACCCTTGAAGAAGAGTGGACACCTCGTTTGCCTGCTTTATCCCATAACACCCTCCCTGGTATTATGAAGTGTACTGCATAATGTACACTAACTGTCCAAGTCGTCCTATCCTAAAATATCCAGGGATTACAAAGATCGTTACTTTATTTTAAATATGTTAACTTCTTTTTGTCACCTGACACAGATAACCAATTATTTGAACTGGGTTGTGAGGAACTTGGCTGACCTGGAGGTCCAGATGGGAGCAGTGAAGAAAGTGAACAGTTTCTTGACTATGGAATCTGAGAACTATGAAGGCACTATGGGTATTATTCTGAATATTCTTTTGTTTCACTCAAATATTTATTTTATACCACTATTAGTTGTATGTCAGTCACATTATCATTTTTGCTTTTGTTCTCCACTTTAATATCCAGAGAATCCCTTCTCGTCTTGACCTTGCTTTATGAGGTACATCTGAAATGATAAAACTATTTAGGCTTGAAAAGTTTGGGACACAACAGACTCCAAATAGGTATTATGTAGTAATAGTTAAAGAGAATTATAAAGAATATTACATTCATTACCAATTTACACTATGAACTATTATGTTCTCTTTCTCAAGATCCTATTAACCTAGATGTCAAGAAACTTGGATCTTACTCATTGAGATTCTCAGCTTTTCTAGAATAAAATTGGCAGGGAATTCAATACTGAAGATAGAATGATCTTTCTTAAATTCAAATTTCATGCTTAAAATGCGCTCTTCTGGGTGCCTGGGTGGCTAAGTGGGTTAAAGCCTCTGTCTTCAGCTCAGGTCATGATCTCAGGGTCCTGGAATGGAGCCCTGCATCGGGCTCTCTGCTCAGTGGGGAGCCTGCTTCCCCCTCTCTCTCTGCCTGTCTCTCTGCCTACTTGTGACTTCTCTCTCTCTCAAATAAATAAATAAAATCTTTAAAATGCATTCTTCTGCCTAAATTCTTCTATAGCTATCTAGGTCTTCAAGGACAAAATCCAGATAAGTTAGCTAAGACCACTAGACTCTTCAACAGTTCCTTGCCCATCTATCTGGTCGCATCTTTCATCACCTATCCAACATGCTGTGGTTTCTTTTTATCTTTGTTCTCTCCGTATACATTTGAAACAAATCTCCCCATCCCTGGTCCTTTAAGACTCATCTCAGTCACCATCTTCTCTTGAAGTCCTCCTGGAACTCTCAGGCTACACCATCCATGCTCCCGGAGCGCCTTGGGCTGGACTCCATCATGTGACTGCACGCAGTACTGTAGATCCCGATGCTTCCCCAGGACATAGGGAGCACCTTGAGGCATGACTTTCATCTCCATATTCCCAAGACCTTGCACAACACCTCTCACATTTTTAGGCACTCAGCTGTTTGATGACCGACGGATGAACACATGAATCAACTCGCAGATGAAGTATCTTCAGTAGAATCAAGTGGTAGATTGCAGAAAAGACATGATAGTTCATGCTTCAAATAGAAACACGCACAAAAACTATTTTGAAAGTTCTCAATCAATAGGCCTTTGCTCTGAATGTAATTTCAGTTTTAAAAAGATACAGAATTTGGCTCAGTATGACGTTAAATTTATTTTAAAAAAGGATATGTTTGCATGTAAAAATGTATATAAGTATGTGTATGTTTCTTCCTGTCTCTCTCTTTCCCTCCTTCTCCCTCCTCGTCCCTCCCGCTCCTTGTCTCCTTCTCTCCCTCTCCCTCTGATTTCCCCTATCCCAACCTCACCCCCCAGACCCCTCTCAAGTTCCAGAACATTGGCCACAGGAAGGAGAGATCAAGATTCATGACTTGTGTGTGAGATATGAAAATAATCTGAAACCTGTTCTTAAGCACGTCAAAGCTTACATCAAACCCGGGCAAAAGGTATGGAATTCACTGCCATTTGTTTCGTACAGATCAGAGAAGGAGCCACTTGATCACTAGCTAAGCTCTTAGACGTCCAGCCAAGTACATTCTCACTGGACTCAGAGAGACTAAGACTCCCTACAATTTACAGGTCAAATTATCTACATAAAAGAGAAAAGAGAGAGAACCAGGATAAAATGCACGTTCTTTAAATTGTATTGCCGTTCATTAGTCTCCCATGAAGATGAGGAAAATCACCAATATGTGTGTTTTTCCAAATTTCTGGCTTCTGGATCACAGCTGTATCAGACATCCCCTTGAGAACTTTTGCATTTGTACTAGCTTTAGTCCCAAAAGGATTCATGTTAGCTACTTTAAAAAGAGGAAGTGTGCAGAAAAAAATTGGAGTCCATCTACTTTTTGTTATAAAATCATCACTTCTAAGATAAAATTGAATACTTACTTATTAGGCCAACAAGATACTAAGTGCAAAAATTAAGCCACAAAGGAAAAACACCACAGCCACATACAAATAAAGAGTTAGAATGAAATCATTGAAGATTTGTGAGAATTCTGTGTTTTTATCTTAATAATGATACATAAAGGAGACTTAAGAAAAGAATGATAATTTATTACAACTATTTAAATAGAGGTAAGTTTCCCCATGACATCTTGTTGAAATTAAAAATATTTTTTGCCCATCTTCTGTTGTTTTTGTTTTTGTTTTTGTTTTTGTTTTCTGAGTCCTTTTTTCTCTAAGTGACACTTATTTTTTAGGTGGGCATCTGCGGTCGCACCGGCAGTGGAAAGTCATCATTATCACTGGCTTTCTTCAGAATGGTGGATATATTTGATGGTAAGTTACTAACTAAATGTTGTCATTGGCTATGTGGTGCTTTTCCTTAAAAAAAAAAAAAAAAAAAAAGTGAGACTTCAACTTACCTATTCCTGCAGAAATAAAGAGCAAAGATTTATGAGGACTTTGCAGCCTGCAACCCATGGATTGAGGCAGGTGTCCCAGGTCAACAGTCTAGAAGTAAAGAATGAACACAGAATTGTTAATAAAATTATTAGCTCTAAACTTGGCTCCAGAGATTGTCATTAACGAATTCTAATAAACTGATAAAATGAAAATAAAGCCACCCATTTTGAACAGCCGTAGATATAGGTGGCATTTCAAGAGGAAGGGAAAAAAGGAAGACTGTCTAGCTTTGCTCAAACTAAAAACACACCCATTTCCATCAAAGGAAAAAAAATGCAAGGAGATAAATAATCTGCACTATTAATTTTGGTGCATGACTCTTACTTTCATAACAAGGTTTAATGATGCGGAACATTTTGTGCGGTGGCAACCTGCTAAGGGCCAAGCACATGTTGACAATATAAAAAAATATTTATTCATCTACAGAATTATTAATAACATGATACATGGAAATAATTTAATCTTTGCTTTAGAAAAATATGTCACATTATTTAGTCTATCAAGTGGTCTATAAATAGCCGAGCCTGTAAACTGTCTTGAGTAGAAGGGGATCCAGCAATGTGCTTGGTCATCAGCTCAAGAAGTGCTTCCTATTATTATCTGAAATGATCGCAATGAGGATTATAGTACTTCACATTTTTATTGTACCTGACAGTTTATGATATGTAATCTATGCAACAGCTCTGTGAGGTGGAGGAATCAGTTTATGAACAGAGATGAACTACAGGAATTGCAATCTCCTTGGGGTTTGGATTCAGGAGCAGAGTAGGTAGGGATCAGCCGCTGGGTTAGCAGGTTGCTCTTCCATGGCTAGGAATAATAAATAAAACACAGGTATCTTTTTTAAGGACTTTTAGTGGATTTGCCTTATAAGACAGTTGATTGACACTTTTCATTAAATAAACAAACAGACAAACCTGTGGTTGTAACTGAACATATTAGATTAGCCTGTTCTTTACGAGCCCAGAAACATGCTTCCAGGCCCCATGTGGGCTATCAATGACTGATTCTCTTCTTTAGCATTAGGCTATTAAGATTTTAATAGATAATGTGTTATTCCTGAAAGAAAGTTTAGCTGATCACTTTGTCTCCTCTTGAATGTAAATCTAGCTGGAAAAGGGGCTCCGCCTGCCATTCTTTGTCTGGCCTGCTCATTTCATATGGCAGTTCTGTCTTTGCACAAAGTGATCTGATAAAATAATCTAACAATTTAACAATTTGAGGAAAAGATATCAAGATGGCACAAGTCTCTAATCTAAATACAGTATGGAGAAATTAATTACAATGTGATATCTGGGCGCCTGGGTGACTCAATTCGTTAAGCCACTGCCTTTGGCTCAGGTCATGATCCCAGAGTCCCGGGATCGAGTCCTGTATCAGGCTCCCAACTCCATGGGGAGTCTGCTTCTCTCTCTCACCTTCTCCCCTCTCATGTTCTCTCTCTGTCTGTCTCTCGCTCTCAAATAAATAAAATCTTTTAAAAAACAAATAAAATTTGATATCTATGTCATAGAATTTTCTTTTTTTAAAAAATATTTTATTTATTTATTTAACAGAGAGAGAACGAGAGAGAGATCACAAGCAGGCAGAGAGAAAGGCAGAGAAAGGGGGGAAGCAGGTTCCCCATTGAGCAGAGAGCCCGATGTGGGGCTCAATCCCAGGACCCTGAAACCATGACCTGAGCCGAAGGCAGAGGCTTAACCCACTGAGCCACCCAGGTGCCCTGTCGTAGAATTTTCTTATTTGCAATGCCTTGTCATTCAATCAATAAAAGAGTGAATAATTTAGACAAAAATCACTGTCTTCAAGGAGTTTATATTCTAGTTGGGAGAGAGAGACAATTAAAAAAAGATAAGTAAATGTATATCGAGTACATTGTGAAGGAAAATAAAACAACAAGGATAAATATTGGAAGGAAGAAGACCCATTGAGAAAAAGTACTTTTGGTTTGTAGGAACCATGGAAACTGAATATAAAAATTGAGAATCACTTTAAGAGAGAATACTTAAGAAAGAGAACATACCACCAAAATGTATATTTTTCATAGAAATGCATAATGATGTTTCTAATACTTAAATGGAAAGCTTTATCTTTGGAGTTTCAACCCTGAACTAGAAAGTACTTTCAATTTGTAAACAAATATTATTTTACTTTTAGTTTTACTACAAGCCTGCATTTTTTTCTTTCTGTTTAACAGGAAAGATTGTCATTGATGGGATAGACATTTCGAAATTGCCACTGCACACACTACGTTCTAGACTTTCGATCATTTTGCAGGATCCAATACTATTCAGTGGTTCTATTAGGTAGGTGATGTATTCAACAGAAACCCAAATGTCTCGGGGTTTAACTTTTGGCTCATAGGAGCGTTTTACTTAGAACTGTTTTTCAGGTAGGTGTGAATGACATTATCAGGATGATACGATTGAATATTCTGGCCAACAGTTTGGTTTGGGAAACCCTAGAGTTGCTAAATTAACCTATAGAAGCCAGTCCTTTATGTTTTTCCAGGAGCTCTGCTCTTTCAATTTGACTCTACAAGTCACTTTTTCCTCTGTCCTTGGGGCAGTGATTCTTGGCAGACATTTCTAAGGTGTTCTACCCTACAGATGTCCTGCCTATTACTTATGCATCTGGCTTGGGCTTAGCAGATATTGAGTTTGGTTAATCCCTTGATTCCCCCATCCCTCATAATTTTTCTTTCAGCCAAAATTGCTTTTAAGAAGCTGCTACAATCTTCTCCATGCCTGGTTTATGGTTTCCTATAGTTAAAAAAAAAAAAAAAAAAAAAAAAGGTATCTACTATCTGCTAAGTGCTTTAAATACTTGTCTCATTAAATCCTCAAAGCACTGCTCTAGTGTTATTACCCTCATTTTACGGATGAGAATTTTGAACCTCAGAGAAGCTTTAACTTGTTTGAGTTCATGTGCTTAGTAAGTGGTAGAACAGCAATTCAAAGTAAAGTTTGTCTGACTCCAAAGTGCACCGTGGCATTACCCACCAGGTCATGTCGCTCCTTGCACCCATCCTTTGTTCTCTCTTGCTCCCTTCCTCTACCTTAATTACAAAGAAGTATTGCCACCTCTTTTTGTCTTGAAGAGAAAATGGACATAAGAGTGCTCAATATTCAGCTGTAAAAGTTAAAAGTTGGGGGTGTATCCAGTTAGTTAGCAATGCCGTAGTGAATTGATGTGTCTGGTAGATTTATTACGAATACTACTATTGTGGTTGGTGCAGCACGGACCCTCTAAGATAGCATTGCATGTTCTCCTATAATCATCTGTTCTGTAAAAACTCCTTGCTAGACACTACTCAAGTTACATTAAATAGAGTATGAAAGTGGATAAATCCACATAATGAATTTTATCATGTCATACACGACATATAAATTTACTAATTGTATCTTCAGAAAACATTTTTCATAACATATAGTCATCATTCATTTATTCATCCAACATGAACTGAATGCCTGCTCTATCCTGAGCACTGGTCTAGGTACTAGGGATATAGCAATAACCAAAACAAATGGGACTTATATTTTAAGGAAAGAACAGCAATAAGCAAACATATGTAAAAATGCCTTTATTTTTATTTATTCACTAAATAACTTATTTTTTCCCCTACAGATTTAATTTAGATCCAGAGTGTAAATGCACAGACGACAGACTCTGGGAAGCTCTAGAAATTGCTCAGCTGAAGAATATGGTCAAATCCCTACCAGGAGGTCTAGGTATATTTTCTAGAGAATACATTTATTTTTACATATGCAATTAATTTTACATATCTCTATCTATAATTTATGCTAGAATCACATAATTCATGTTAAGTCCCCTTATATTTAAAATAATCTCCAACACTCATTAGGACACTTCAAAATCTAATATTTTTTCTTAGGATGCCAGAGGATGAAACTTATTACAAATTCTGTTCTATCTGAACACTTCAGAATATTCCAGTTAATACATTTAACTCTTCAGTCTTTTCACTTTAGTGGTAAAGGTCATTTTAACTTATTTTGTTTTATTTTACTTTTTTGGAGAGAGAGGGGGAAAGAGCACGAACGGAGGAGGAAGGGCAGGGGGAGACAGAGAACCTCAAGCAGGCTCAGTCCACAGCCCTGAGATCATGATCTGAACCAAAATCAAGAATGGGACGCTTAGTGGACTGAGCCACCCAGGCGCCCCAGTGGTATATATAGGACATTTGAATCAGAATATTTCCCTGTGGTCATTCTCATGTGATTGACATGACCCCTGACCCACAGTAAATGGGGTAGAGGATTGAAGAGGCTACTAGGTCCAGAGTACTCCGTACCATGTAGGAGCAGGCGGTTTCTCTACATTGGCAGCCATTTTCTTTGTTGCCAGGTGGGACTATTGCTTATATTTATGTGGCATAATTTTGTGAAGACATTATTTTCTATACTTTGCTGCAGTGTTGGTTCAAGCCACCCATGTAAGGGATAAAACACGTACTCAATCAGTGATCCAAATTTAGTCCCAGAGGTAGACAATTTCTGGCAAATAACTGATGATAGAATAAAACAACAACAATAAGGAAAGAATATAATTAACAAAACACCAGACGGGCATCTGGGTGTCTCAGTTGGTTAAGCATCTGCTTCAGCTCAGATCATGATCCCAGGGTCCTGGGATCAAGCCCTGTGTGGGGCTCCCTGCTCAGTGAGGACCCTGCTTCTCCCTCTCTCTCTGCTTGTGCTCCCATGCTTGTGCTCTCTCCCTCTCTCCCTCACTCGCTTTCACTCTGTCTCAAATAAACAAATAAAATCTTAAAAACAAAACAAAACAAAACCAGAAAGTGCACCATGTAATCTTTAATTCATAAAAATGGTGACTATATGTAATTTGGGACTTTTGCTTCCTTGAAATCTAAACTTATTTAAGAAATCAGTCAGAAAGTAAGAGTTGGTTGAAATTTTTTTTTTAAATTTAATTTACTTATTTGACAGAGAGAGATCACAAGTAGGCAGAGAGGCAGGCAGAGAGAGAGGAAGGGAAGCGGGCTCCCGAAATTTTGATTCTAATATATAACATGTAGTTGCAATCTTGTTTTGTTTTGGCATCTGAAAAAAAAAAAAATCAGCCCACAAAATACACTGTGTTTATTTGGGAAGGAGGACCTACACAAAAACAATACTTTTTATGATTTTAATTAAGACCCAAGGGAAAGGCATCCCACAAATAGAAATTCAGATAGCATTTCTTTAAAGATAGTTTTATCAACTTCGTGGTGTTAGATTGTGGGAGCAATTCCAGGGATCTGGATGAACTTTCCCATTGTAATTTTGATGTATTGCATGGTGAACCAAGCAAGTCTGCTTGAGAAGTTGATAATGCACATAGACCCTTCTCCCGTGGTATTTAGACACACCTTTAGTAGTTGGGAATATAGGCAATTACGACTCTGTAGTCCTCTTCACTCACATGAAAGATGTATGCACCTATTCTGAATCATGGGCACAGAGTTCAAGTGTTATGGTATAGTGTAAACAATAGAAGATTGTATTTACACTATGTAATTGAATGTTGTTTATGTTCATTGTTTTCATAAAGATTACATCGATTGTTTGATAAAGATCTGGTTCAGACTAGTTCTGGTGAAGAACAACCATCATCTCTCGCACCCTCCTTATTTATTATGTAAACTTAAAAATTTAGAGAATAAAGACATAGCACCCAAGGATGAAAAATTCCAAGAATTTGATGCAATGAGAAAATATAAAATGGAAATTTATGACTCTACTAGGAAGTGTTAAAGAGGTATTTTGAAAACAGAATTTATCTCAAACTGACAGTAAGACAGCTTACAAAATGTGGACGGAAACCAAAAAAGAAAAAGAAAATGATAGTGAGGATCTAACATTCATTTATCCATCCAATAATGTTTTATTCAGCTGCTGTGTCAGATACCAAGTGCTGAGGATATATTGACAAACAAAAACAAACCCAGTCCTTAACCATATGGAACTGACAGTCCAGTGGGATGGTATAATGAAAAAAGAAATGTACACTAGGGTCAAGAATGTTCTGTTTCTTTTTTAATTTTTCTTCTTTTTCTCTCTTTTTTAAGGATTTTATTTATTTATTTGACAGAGAGAGAGAGATCAACAAGTAAGCAAAGAGGCAGACAGAGGGGCGGGGAAGCAGGCTCCCTGCTGAGCAGAGAACCTGATGTGGGGCTTGATCCCAGGACTCTGAGATCATGACCCAAGCCAAAGGCAGAGGCTTAACCCACTGAGCCACCCAGGCGCCCCAAAAATGTTCTGTTACTTATTGAGTTCTACTGTAAATTACCTGTGTGATCATGGCCAAGCCACTTCATTTCTCTGGGCCTCAGATAATTATATTAAATAGTGTCCTTAGATAATTATATTAAATAATTAAAAACCTCTCAGGTCTTCCAGTCCTCAAAATACTTACAAGTATTTTATATCCTGCTATAAGGATATAAAGATATTCACCACCTTTTGCCAAAATTAGGATGGCCCAGGATCATCTTCATTTTCCTGAAGTAAAATTCCTTTCACCTTTCCAGTATGAAATCTTCGCAACAGTGCACTAAGATCCCCCATTCTCTTGTAGGACATTCCTATTTTTCCCTACTTTGCTCAAGGAAAATGTTAACCACATTTTAGTGAAATCCTCGCTTCTCTCTCTGATGTAGATGCAGTTGTCACCGAAGGTGGGGAGAACTTCAGCGTTGGACAGAGACAGCTGTTCTGCCTTGCTCGGGCCTTTGTCCGCAAGAGCAGCATTCTCATCATGGATGAAGCTACGGCTTCCATTGACATGGCCACGGTGAGTGCATTGAAGAGCTGGGGAAATGCACATGAAAATTACAACTCAGTTTTTCCTGATTGGGTTCGAAGTCCTTAGTGCTATTGTTTTCAGTGTCTTCTCATTCATCTCTTTAATTAACTGATGATAGCATATTGAGAATTACCGTAAAGGAGACATGACAGTCTACTGCCAGTAAATATAAAATAAATTGGCTATCACTTTTTGATAAATTCTTAAGGCAGTAAAATTCCAACACTCAGTTGACTTGAGTACTATATTGTATTCAAGCATTCAAGTCTTACACCTTGGAAGTAATAAAATGAAGTATGCAAGATCTTCATTTAATAGAAATTGCTAACAAAAATCAAACATTATTTTCTAAAGCAATTTGAAGAAGGATTCACTAGAACTAATAATGATCTTCTCAATGTGTTCATGGTAACAAGCCAGAACTTTGCCTTTGAAAGAATTATTTAAAACTGTTAAATATACCAAGAAGGATCTGTCTAGAAGGCTGTGACTGAGTGGGGAAAATGTCACATTAAACCACAAACTGTATGCACTAGCAATTAATGGTGTTCTTACACAAGTTAACTTGATATTAAAAGTTTGGCATCAGAAAGGACAAAAATAGAAACATCCACAAACATGATATTCTCTTGCTGCACACTCTAGATTGGGTAAAAAAAAATCCAAAAAAGTGAAAGTTTCAGGATTATTAACAGCCAATTATATATGAAGATGCTAATTTGACATCATTTCTTTCTACTAAGACTAATCAGTTATACAATGTTATATATCCTTCTCAAAGTTCATGGAATTTAAAGTAATAAAATAATTTCTAATTAAGCCAATTCACTAAAAAAGCATAACTACATCAGAATTAGTATTAATTGCTAAGGATTTACAATATTGGGGGTTATTATAATACAGTCTCAGTGGAGATGAGAAAGGAAGGGAGAATGAATTAATTGGCAATAAGCCACTTGACAGGAAGGAAGTCTTTACATTAAGACTTGGGAATCAAGTTTTCCTCTGAGAGAGAGAGAGAGCGTGAGTCTTTATCCAGAACATCTTTCAAAATATGACAATAACAATAGTCTGTGACTGAGATAAAAATGGTTTTTGCCTGGATGGTTTTTTTATGAGTCAAAATCCAAATTTAGGGCATGTGTTTTATTTCTTCCCTTTTCTGACCCCAAGGTTAACGCCATTTTATCTGTCAAATAAATAAATAAAATCTTAAAAAAAAATTAGAGTTTTATTAGTTTTGAATACATACTGTTTGTGGCATACTTTAAGTGAGCATTTCCATGACCATTTAATTTCATTTTCCCCTTTCAGTTCCCTGGTAACAAATCTATCAGTCATTCTGGGTTGATCACTAAGTTTTATTTGCCTTTTGAAGACTCCTATCGAGCCCAGCAGAAGCTTGCTGTGGGGACTGCTCCATGTGGCACCTTTCAGAAAAGACAGGAGCTGGGAGTTCTCAGAAGGGATGGGACCTGGGTGAGGAGTGGGAGGAGGCAGGGGTGCGGTCTTTGCTCTCAGGGACAAAACAGTATGGTGAGAAAAAGGAGTCCAGAGAAAATTCAGACTTTATTTATTTATTTTTTGGCAGGAAAACATTTTGCAGAAAGTGGTAATGACGGCTTTTGCAGACCGCACCGTTGTTACAATAGCTGTAAGTATTGGACACAGGGCTGATTTACTTCTCTTTGGTTTTTGTTCTAAGATTTAATAATCTTTATTCTGGGGCAATTCAAGTATACATATGTTGGATTATGTATTTCTCTGCCAATGCTTCTGCATCTGTGCAAAAGAAAAAAAAAACAAAATAATAGCTACAAAAACAGCTATGCTCCAAAAGACTTTATACTGTTTTTTTTTTCCCCAAGCTGTTTCTACCTAGCTTCCCTGATTTACATTGATAGGATATCCTAAATCAAAGGATTCCAGCAGGATTGCCTGTGGGTCCCCCACAACCAGATTTAGTTGGCAGTTCATATGGGATAATTCTCTTTTCAATAATGTAATCATCTGATGAGCTGTTTCAGAAGCAAAATTCTTCAACATGACTACCAGTTTTGCTACCGCTTACACTCAATTTCTGTTCCTGTTCACCTAAATGTTTAAAAAAAATGACATCACGGCTGAGGCAGATACTTTCTCTGAGCACCAATCCAACTGAAGAATTGCCCAAACCTTTGTATTTGTAATCACTTACTTACAGGAGGCTGTAGTTTCTTCTTCTCTTTGCAGATGGAAGGATTCTTGTTTACATTCAGGCTTAATGTTTAACAAGAACTTTTTAAATGAATCACCTGGCATTTTCACTCTTGCTGATTCTTGTCTTTCCATTTCTCTTTTCTCTCCAGCACCGTGTCTCCTCTATTTTGGATTCAGGTCTTGTTTTAGTCTTCTCTGAGGGTATTTTAGTGGAGTGTGATACTGTTCCAAACTTGCTTGCCCACAAGAATGGCCTCTTTTCCACTTTGGTGATGACCAACAAGTAGACCGTCATCAGCTACTCTGCCAACTGTCCCATTCTCTGGTAGTTATCTTAGGGGAACCCTCTCAGCCAGGCAGAGCTAATGCAATGACTAAAGGGGGTGGTGGGGTGAGGGAGCAACATACATGGTATTCTCACATAAATCAGCTTAACCAGCTGCTTCAGTTACGTCCAATATGGAATGAGATGCATGCATACTTTTCTTACATGTATAGGCGAGAGATAGGATTTACCGAAACCCAAGAACCAGATTTTCCTCTGTTAAGACAGAGGACCTTAAGAAGACCAATTTCACTCTTCTTTGGGGGATATGTTGTACGTGTCCTTAAAAATACTGTACCTGTTCTTTACCTGTCCTGGAAATTGCATTTTTTCAATTTACAGAATTATTTAGTTTTAACTGTTGAATACTGGAACCTATGCATGGAGTGGTTGCTTATGCTTTCATTTTTGTGAATGATGCATGGAGTAAAAGCACCCTTGGAAGTGCAACTTTTTTAAAGTGGCAGGAAATGATTCCCATCAAGGGCCCACCTTCTGTACACTGGGCCTAAGTAAAGAAAAAGCCACTTTTCTCCCACTTTCCCAAAGAACTCTGCTCTGGAGCAGTTACCAGATTAAGTCATTCATCCTAGACTGTGAATGATTTAATGGGTGAGAGAATTGGCTAACTTGAAACAACAGTTCTCTAATATTTTCAAGAATTTTCTCACTGGAAAAGGTAGGGAGGTATTTGGGGGAGGGGAGGAAGAACGAACAGGTAAAGTGGGAGAGAAGCAGACCTTTGTCTACTGAAAAGACTAGTTTTCTCTCTACTCAAAAGACTAGTTTTCTATCTTCTGCATGAAGCATGGTATTGTTGAGTGGCCCCATTTAGTTTATACCTGGAAGATTGATTGAGCATAATTTGTATTTTTAACCAAAAAATTATGTTCTCTTTCTTGTCTGCCTGCATTCACTGGACACTCTTCCACAGACCTCTGTATCTTCCACTCATTTTTCATTTCAAGACCATTGATGTGGGGGTGACCACTAGGATACTTCCCCACGGGAAAACAGAAAGCTGTGGGTAGGATGAATTACCAGGCTCTCAGAGAGAGCACCAGCAGCCTGTGGTAGAAACCTTGTAGAAGGATTCTCAGCTCTGTTAAACAGTAACTGTTCTTTCTTACCTGCTAAAAGTTATTTTGTTAATTTTGTTAACTACAACTGAAAATTGTGAAAGAACTTCAAAAGATAACTTTCTCTGGCTTCTTAAAGGATGTCTTAGTGCACCAAAACAGTGCATGGCATTTATTTATGAAAGTGATTTTTTCTAATTCACCATTGATAAGATTAATTTCTCTAGAGTATTTTGAAAATTGCATCAGTGCCCTTATAATTGACACTACACTTTCTCAAGCAAAAAATAATTTGGATTAATGGAATAAACACCACATATATTCCTTTCTATTGGCCAAGATTTTTCCATGTTTTTAAATTTTTTTTTTTTTTTAGATTTTATTTATTTATTTGACAGAGAGAGACACACAGAGAGAGGGAGCACAGGCAGGGGAGTGGGAGAGGGAGAAGCAGACTACCCGCCGAGCAGGGAGCCTGATGCAGGGCTCAATCCCAGGAGCCTGGGATCATGACCCAAGCCCAAGGTCAATGCTTAATGACTGAGCCACCCAGGCGCCCCTTTATTTTTATTTCTTAAATAAATATTATTTTAGTATAATAAGGCAATGTTTATAACATTCTATTTAGGGATTTAGAGGCCAGATTCTTTTTTTAGCATTGTGATATGGTTATTGAAGAATTAATCTTTTTTGGAGGGAAAATATACAGCAGATATTAAACAGTTTATTAACCTTAAGTTTATTTTTGTTTCTAAATGCATGGGTATACAAGTGACTCTGGTCTTCTCTCAAAGATAAATAAACATTATCCTGCAAATTTTGGCAATTCATAAATATATATCATTCATTACCAATATTCAGTGGATGATAGGTTCATCTAGGGATGTTGGAAATAGTGGTACATGTTCTGAGCTGGCATCTTTATTATCCTCCATATATGTCTTACTCTTCTCCTCTAGTTGTCCCAGCTGTGACTGTTTGCTTTTCTGAAAGCATAAGCATTGAGACTACCCCATCACCTGGCCCAGGGCAGGTGATAGGCTAGGGATGGCTTTAGATTGGACTCTGGGTTATTAGGAGAAAGGACTTCAGAAAACTGTATCAAATTAACAGATGATATTTTTGGGTTTGGCACTCCCATCAGCATGCTGAGATTTTGACCTGCATAGTCCAGGTCCAATATGGTGGCCCAGAACCAAATATGGCTACCTAGCACTTAAAATGAAGGTAGTCCAAATTAAGACATGTAAGTATGAAATACACACTGGATTTTGAAGATCTGGTACTAATAGAAAAATTTAAAAGATACCATTATTAATTTTTGTATTGGTCATATATTCAAATACTTCAAGTATATTGGGTTAAAATATATTATCAAAATGGATTTTATGGGGTACCTAGCTGGCTCAGTCGTAGAGCATGTGACTTCATCTCAGGGTCATGAATTCAAGCCCCACATTGAGCATGGAGCTTCTGTTAAAAAAAAAAAATCAACTGGATTTAATATAACTTAACCTAGATTTCACCTGTTTATTTGTGCCTTGAAGCTGTGGATTTAAGAAATTTAAAATTACACGTGTCTCACATTGGTGGTCCACATTACATTTCTATTGCACAGCACCTATCTTACCAAGAGAAGTAAAATGACCCATGACACAGACTTTTCCCTTGTAAGTTTTAAAAATAAAAAATAAGAGTAACTGACATTTAGTATGTGCTTGTATGAGTCAGACAAGGTGCTGAATTCTTTTTACATGGATCCACCTCATCTGACCCTCACCACCATCCTGTGAGGCAGGTACTATATTCATACCATCATTTTATAGATGTGGAACTTGAGGCATACAAAGTTGAGTTTGCTGATGAGACTGCACAACCACACAGGTGGGGAAAGCAGAATACCTGCCCCGTGTCACCTAAAGCCTGTGCTCTTAACCGTAACGCTAATAACGGGAGGTGAGCCACCCTTGAAAGCAGCAGACACTCCCTACAAAGCAATCTGATAGCAGGCAGAAATATCTCATGTTTTGAAGTTAATAAGCCTGATTTTATGTTGGTTCTGCTACTTATTATCTATGCGATCTCCTGTTTTTGCTTTACCTCTGTGAGCCACTATGGTCTTGCACGTAAAGCAGAGAAACACTCACATTTGAGGAATGTTTAACGATTAACAAGTACATGCATGGAGCACCTAATGTATAATATATGGTCAATAGGTGGTAGCTTTTTTTTTATTATTATTAATTACCAATCCCAAAGCTTCTCTCCAAAGGATACCAAGTGAAAAGCGAGCACAAGTGTGTGGCAATGATCTCCGAAGACTGCAAGCCGGCATGTCTAATGTCCTGGATAATCCATTCTAACACTGCATTCCCGAATGGCCTTCCCCATAGTGTGTTCGCAGAATTGAACCACCGTCCAAGGCTCTTCAGGTTGTGCGTTGGACCACGAATTAGTTGATTCTACCCAAGAGATAATTTTAGTCTAAACTGTAACATAACTGGTTCACGATGGGTCTTCTTATCATTTAATTATTTGACAAACAAAATTAGCCTCCTTACACGTCCATGATAGTGCTGAAACTACTATATTATTACACTCAATTTAACACATCCAAGACCCAGTCACACTCGCAAGTATTTAAACTGATGTACATAATGATATGTTAAATAAGACAGAAAAAGAGGCTATGCTTCTGTTCTAGTACCTCCTAGCACCCCAAGATAAATAATCAGTGAGACATGCCTATTCCATTGCTTTGGCTCACGAAATTTGTAACAAGTACCTGTATTTTTTTTTTTTTTTTCACTTGCAGCATCGGGTTCACACTATCCTGACGGCAGACCTGGTTATTGTGATGAAGCGAGGAAATATTTTAGAATATGACACTCCAGAAAGCCTCTTGGCTAGGGAAGATGGAGTTTTTGCTTCTTTTGTTCGTGCAGACATGTGAAAGGATATCTTAAACCAATACATGGATTTAAAATAATGCAGTCATAACCTATTTAATGAATCATCAGCTTGACCTTCAAAACTTGGCATCTTAAATTTTTACACTTTTGTAAAGCATATTTGTTGTGTTAGGGGACTTTGTAATTAGCTACGATGTCACTTTACCCATGAATACTGTATTTTCTATGTTGATATTTCTTTTTTGTTTGTTTTCCAAGATCTTACTGCTTAATATGTTCATTACTGATGATCTTTCTAATAATTAAACCCTTTACCTTTAAGAATAGCAGACTGTATTAAAACATGTAAGTTACTTTAAGTGGTAAGTCAACAGCTGTAATTTCTCATAATTTTAAGGCTGGTAAATATCTCTGGCATAGAAATCACCATGAGTATTCAGTATGCTTATACTCTTATTTATGAGAATATGTTTTCCATTTTGTTGGTATCCCCAGATGTTATTGGAAGAGAATTAAGAGAACAGGTTTTCTAATCAGTGAGAAAATAAAACACACAAGTCCGTTATCTACTGGATAAGAATATTCAGTGTTCATTACCATTCATAGTAATAGTGATGCTCAACAGTCTCTCTTCCACATCTAAATTGTTTCCTGTTACCAAGAAGTCATTTATGGTAGCTTTGAGAAGTCAGTGCCTTAAGCAGAAAGATCATGGAAAGAGTTTGGGTATTTGAAAAATTATACTCAAGTTTCCATTTTTACCTGTCCAGTCAGGAGAAAGTTCCTAAGGTATCAGGAATGATGTGCTTTTTCCAGACTAAAGTTCAAAGAGCAAATACATCCAGTCCTTCTGTGACAGGCCAGCTAAAGCTCTCTATGATTTAATTCACCAACAAATGTGGTTATGATCCTGAGCCCTAAAATTCCACATTATTCAAGATTCAGGAGCATATGCAAGTGGTCTCATTTGCTTATATAAATATATATGAAACAAGTGTCTATTTCAAGGTAGAAGAGTTTACTTCTTTTTGACATTTCTGCCCAGTGGTGTCACACACGTATCCACTTGGTACTGCTCTAATTTTAATGCACATGTAAAAAGTGAATCAAAATGTTACTCTAATTTTAATGTGTATGTTAAGAGTGCATCAAATATGGATGGAATATTAGTGTTATGTTTGCTTATAAATAAATTTTAAAATACTAAAAGTTACCTGCACTGTCACACTAAGCAGCCAAAGCTCTCTACTACAATTCTGTGCCCATCTAGTATAAAATATAACGAGTTTTCATATAAAGACCACGTGCATTGTTAGATTTTGAAGAATTGTGATTGATAGAAAAAGAGAATTGGTGCTCCCTCCCTGTAGTTTTTACGTTCAGTTTATTGTATTGTGTATTCACTCTTGGGAAATTTATAATACTTGTTTAATGGCATGTATGACTGGGTCTTCACCTGAATATAGAGTCCCAATGTTTACCTAAAATAAGTTCCATAAGGATGGACAGACATGTTCTGTGTCATTTAGTTTGAATTGATACCTGTTGTATATATAAAACCTCATTGAGAAAAATCCTCTTAATGTTTCCAAAGCTAAACAAAACAGAATCAATAACTATTAAATCAATCTTGAAAATATTTTCTGAAAATTCTACCAATCTCTCTCAAAGTATTTCTGGCAAGGAAATGTTTTGTAAGGCTGCATTTATATGAGGCTTTCTATCAACTTACATCTCATTCTCACAGAGAAATAGGGATTTACCCATAACAGCAACCCCTCACGATATTTGTAAATTATACCACTCTACAGAAATGTCAACAGAAGTATAGCTAATGACGCTAAACTAAGAATCACATAAATCATTCTGACACCCAAGTGGTCACTAGTTCCCTCATAGCTTTTAGTCACTTAAGTTGAGTGTTTAATTGTTTCCAAAACTGAACTGACTGAATAAAGTCAGGAATAACTTTTTAAATTGTTATATCATCTATTATGTTTTATATATATATGTGTGTGTGTATATATATATATATATATATATATATATATAATGTTATATTGAATACAGAAATAGCTTGAAATAATTTTTTACTAAATAGGTACATATCTATAAAAGATGAGCCTTAACCAAATCAAATTTTACACTCCCCAATTTTACAGTTAATTAACCAAAATCAGCTTTAGAGATTTTAAATCCTTAATGTTTGTTAAAAGCAATAAGTGCATAAAGATTTATATGAAAAGTAACAAGTTTACTGATATCACTGTGAGGTTTTTAAAAAATCTATCTTAAAGGACTGTGCATCCTTTATTTTTGTGCTACTACTCATGATCCATTTAAAAGTCAGCTTAGCTGTAAATGAGATACCAGAAGACTGGTATTGGAGATCTGGGACTGTTTGAGATCTGGGACCATGTCTCTTTGTCTTTATGTTCTTTGCATTTTATACAAGTGTCTAGCCCACAGTAAGCCCTTAAATAAGTGTAGTTTATTGATCCACCGATTAGTCCCACCACTAGCCATGGGCGTGAAACTCTGGGTTATTCTCTTCACTTCTTGTGTTATGTTTATTCTACCGTGAAAAATATACTGGCTTGGTATTATATAATAAATTACTCTTTCTCTTTGCTTGATTAAATAAGGTTATTATTCTTTCACTTATAATCTCATTGGGTATCAACCAGGATGATCAATAGATGTAAATCGATAACACCCTGCTCTGATAATTTTGTTTGACATTTTCCACTTGTCCTGTACTTCATTACTTTTATATATTGGTTCTATGTGGAAGTTGCCATTAACTGAAACAACTGTATCAATAAATTTATGACATCTCTAATTCAATAGCTGGATGTCTGGACTTTCCCCTAAGGTTTATTGATCAGTTTTTATGGTTATCTTCCAATATAACTTTTATCACTTATTTTGTACTATACTCTTTGGAATTCTGTGATTTGTAGTACCATGATAATTCACTTATTGACCCATTATCTAAAGTTAAATGCAATATTCTCATCTTAGCATTTTAGCATAAGAAATAGTAGTCAAGAGGATGTGTCCTGTAACTTATATTTATTTTCTTCTTGAATAACTACACATCATTCCCAATAGCAGTAAGGTGCGCCTGGCTCAAACTTTCCAATGAAAGGACTTGTAGGTGTATTTCTAGCAAGTGTCTCCAGATGAGATTCATAACTAGCCAAGTCTGGGAATCACTGGTCTACCTCAGTTATCACACAGTCTTCTTTGATATGATAACATGGAGCCACAGAATACTGAAGGTGATTTTCACATGCTCCCTCTCTTTCCTGACATTACCACTTTCTAAATTGCTAAAATGGGTCCCTCAGTGTCACTGAGTGAACCCTTAGTTCCATGGTAAAGGAAACATAGAGGTAAATAAACTGAATCTTCCCTGAAAAGATTTACACTGGGGTTCTGAATGCTATTTCCTTTTGTTTTGTGGTTTAATCACTAATGCGGAATTTAAGGGGAAAATGTCTTCACAAAGATGCAAAGCTTTTATCCCCCACATGTAAATTAGCTGTCGAATTATTTGTACATTATTCCACTAAATTTGGGGTCATATTTCCAAATGTTTACAGTCCATAAATGTGAGCACGTTGGGTAGGTTTCACTGTTGATGTCTCACAATATGGAAAGAAGGTAAGTTATCTGATGGTTATTCCCCTTTCCACCTTCAGCTTTTTTTTTCTACAGGTGTCATCATTGCTGATATGTGAAGGTTGATACATTCATTCTATATATCTACTATATAAGATTTAAATTAGTTCTGGGGCACCTGGGTGGTTCAGTGGGTTAAAATCTCTGCCTTCAGCTCAGGTCATGATCCCAGGGTCCTGTGATGGAGCCCCGCATTGGACTCTCTGCTCAGCAGGGAGCCTGCTTCCCTTTTCTCTATCTGCCTGGTTCTCTGCTTACTTGTGATCTCTGTCTGTCAAATAAATAAACAAAATCTTTAAAAAAAAATGAGTTCTTTTTTGCGGTACCTGAGTGGCTCAGTCCTTTAAGCATCTGACGTCTGACTTGGGCTCAGGTAGTAATCTTTGGGTCATGGGATCAAGCCCTGCATCGGGCTCCTCACTCAGAGTGGAGCCTACTTGTCCCTCTTCCTCTACCTCTGCCTCTCCCCCACCTCATACTCTCCCTTTCAAATAAATAAATAACTTCTTTTTCTATGGGTAGTAGCAAATTTCCCTTAGCCATTCACGCTATGGTCACCAATGTCCTCTTTCTAAATTGACAAAGTCAAGGAAATCATAATAATTTAATTGGCTCCAAGAGGAATGCTCTCTATGACCTTTGTGCCACCAACCATCACAGATCATTTGCAATTATATACTACACACTAATGGCAAAGAGCTTTGTTTTCTGACTATTATTTTTATCACTTAATCTGCCCACTGTATAAAATAAGTAATGTGTTCATAAGCAGCAACAATATAACACTGTTTAATGCCAGTTCATTCTCATTTTTCTCGTAGAGCTATGCTATGCACTATTTATACACATTATCAGTTATTTTTAAGTGAAAGACTATTGACCTTTAATATTATCAGAGTCAAGTGGATTTAGACCAGTCTTCCATATCTAGGTATTTGCTTTTTAACCCATAGTAGTTGGGGCTTTGTTCCAACACTAGTTAAGTAAAGAGCAATTTTTAAAAAATCATCTTGTTTAGACATCTAGAATGTTCATCAAGCCTTTGAATGTAGACATAAAAAACTGTTTAAATCCCTTAATGTGTACCTCTTTCACAGGTCACAATGTATCCTCCAACCCCTCACCCTGTGTGCATGCCACACCCCGCCTTGTGCACATATCTGCTCACATTTTCTCTTGCTGTCTTAAATTAGAATAAAGCTGCATGAATCTTTTCATCACATATTAATACAATGCATAGAAAAGTCAAATACAGGTACCTACAATGCACAGCATGAAGAGAAATTCTTATAACTACAATAGCATTAAAGTGTATCTTCTAGCCCTAATGCTACTTTAGGAAGACACTTCACTTCTAGATGAATCATAAAATGTGTTTTCAGTGAGAGAAGATTCAACGTGGTTTTTTTTTTTTTCCCCATCATTATTTTTTTAAGATAACCATGGGAACATATTGCTGGGTTATAGTGAGCAGGCTCTTTTTAGTTCGACAAAGAAATGATAATGGTTGTCATAAAAGTAATGACCTGGTCTGGGCATCTATGAAAGAAAGAAGGTTATCTCCTTACTAAAGGATGCTACAGGAAAACAAACTTGGGTTTTTCTTCTGGACTAATTATTTTATGAATATCTGCTATGTGTATACCTTTCAGTAAATCAGGTGTGATTTGAGAAGATTATTTGTCAGGGTAGTACAGAGCTTTCTGGTATGTGAAAAATAGTATGAAATCTTCTGAAATAACTATCTTTATTGTACTTCTTCCTGGGGGAAAGAACTGAGATTAGAATTTAAATGAATCACCTCAAATCTGGATCTGTCTCCAGAGATGGCACTTTATGCACCAGGGGATGGGAGTCCAGAGATGGGGGTGCTGCTGAAAAGACACATCTGCCTCGAAATCCAGGGAACGCAGAATTATGAGTCCTAGGACAAGTTTGGGCTGGGCCAGCTCTAACAGCTTGTTTGGGGACAGTCCACTGACTCAATTCCATCTTTCTATCTCAATCTTCTCCACTTCCTTCTACCCTTCTGTGCCATTCTATATCCTTCCATCTACATCTTTCTCACCTTGCCTGTAGCCTTGATCACTCATATCTCCAATGAGATAGCACCAGGACCCACAACTATCTCTACTTCTCAGATTGTCCATTTCAAAGTATCAAGCAAGGCATCTACTTTGTGGAGCTCATCTTTCTATTTTATGCATGACTGGACAACTTTTCACTACTTCGAGTCAGGTATTGAACTCTGGCCTAAATAGCTGTGGTTGGATATTATACGCCAGTTGGAAGTAGTAACCCATGGCGAGGAAAATGTAACGCAGGCTGGAGAGTGAAGTGAAAGCAAGAATACAAGCCAAAATCACAACCAGTAGTTCAGAAAAAGAGTGGTGATACCAAGCTGGCTACTGATTATTTTTCTTGGGGGGGGTGGATTAAGGGAGGGAGAACCATCCTTCTATCACATGAGCAGTAGAGTGAGATGGTTGACTAAACACTTTGGACATTCTTGACATGGTCCCACACCCTACAAGGATGTAATTTTCTTTTAAAGAAGAAAACAAAAAATTTCCTGCCATAAGTAATCACCTCCAAATATTGACTTTTTAAGCCCAAGTTTTATTTCCCTGTGGGAATGACTGCATAACTCACAGCCTGTGAGACACTTTTTCACAACCACCCATTCAAAACAAGCAGTAACACCCACCTAGAATTGCACTCTCTCACCCATTTTAGGATCCCCAACACATAGGACAATTACAAGCATACCTTAGATAGAGGCACCAGTTCTTCCCAGGGACCTGCCACTCTCAGACACTTAGAAGTGCCAAGCACTTGGCCAAGGCACTGAATTTGCTGTGACATTGACCAACTGGAAAAGAGAGGTGGCAAAAGGCTGTGATTTGGGGTACAGGATTTCACCTGAAAAAAAAAAAAAAAGCTTCTTTTTTTTTGTTCCCACTTGACTGAACTTCTAGCATATGTTAAGTTCAGTAAAATATTATATTGGAAACACAAGGCATCTAGGCTTTTGGCCAAAAAACTTAGGGAAAAAATTAGCAAGCCTAATATTTCATGAGAAATTCTTGGCTTAAACAATATTTTAATAAAGCCTTGCTATGTATTCCAATAAAGCAGAGAGATGACATAATGACTTATGATTAAATATCATATAATCTCTGCAATGCCTAGTACCATCGTGTATCAAACAACACGAAGAAGCAATATTCCTGGGGGAAGAAGAAAAGAGCTATGTGAAGTCATTCAGATACTAGTAGAATGCATATTTGCATAAACTATCTCATTAAAAAATTGGATGAAAGGATAATTACAATTAACATATATTGAGCAGATATGATATGAGCCTTATAAGTATAATCTCATTTAATCTTGACAAAAATTCTACAAGACAAACATTATCACCACTTTATAATTGGGGTTCAGATTGGCCAATTTGCCCAAGGTTTAGTAGAACAGAGATTCAGGTAGTCCAACCTCAATGCCAACACTCCTGGACATGAGCTGTACTAAACTAATGATTCAGTTAGTGAGTCCATTGAGTTCTCTTGGAAATAAATGATTTACATGGTCTGTGATATATAATAAAGAAAAATTATGTTGGCCTATAGAAAATATATTGAAAAAAGGAAGTGGACCAGGAATTAGAAGACCTGAGTTCTAGTCTTGGTTCTGTCACATATTGGATGTGTGACCTTGGATTAATCATTTAAAATCTGAGTTTCCATTTCCTCATTTGCAAAAAGGAAAACAAAAAGGCATGATAACTACTCTGCCAGCTTCAGTGAGTTTTTGTGATTCTCCAATTAAATGGCAATGAAAGGATTTTGTAATTTGAAAAGCACATTCTGACATGAAATATCACTACATATACCACATCTTAATAGTATTATGTGGGATTATTTTGTAAGTCACAGAATAAGCTTTCTCCCTCTTAAAAAATTAATATGATTCCAACTTTACAATGGTAAGATGATATATTCATACTGAGGTATTATATGAAAATGGCTCTAGAATATTGATATCCTTGGGGTTCTGGAAAGGGCAAGTGCAAAATCAGTCTGTTGCGGTATAACCTAGACCTCCTGGAAAGGGGGCGGGGGAGGGAAAGCAACAGAATTAATTCACATTCAAAATTAAAACCACAGGAGAAAATGAACCACCATGATGAGAAGCAAGAGACACAATAAATAGGAATATTAGCACAAGGACTAGAAATATTAAAACAATCTATAAGAGATTTAAAAATATGTATGTTTGCTAATTGGTTGTAAAAACATGGTCAACATCATTCTTCACTAGGAATGCAAATAAAAACAGCTCAAACTACAAAGACTGACCATGGTGAGCTCTGGCGAAGCTGGGACTCCCAGACACGGTGGAAGCGAGTGTAAACGGCACAACCTTCATGGAAAACAGGCAGTTTCTCTAAGGCTAAATGTATGCCTATACCAGGATGCAACAATTTCACTCCTGAACTTGTATCCAAGGGAAATGAGTGTTTTTTTCACAAAAAGACTTGTACAGAAAAGCTCATAGCAGCTTTATTCATACTAGTCCAAAAAAAACCCAAAACAGCCCAAGTGCCCATCAACAAGAGAATGGATAAATAAATGATGGCTTCTTCACACGATGAAATACTTAGCATATAAAACAACATAGCCAAACCTTCACAAATATGTGGAGTACAGGAAGTCAGGTACTGAAGAGTACCTACGCTAGGAGCCCAGGGACACACAACTCAACAAGAAGCAAAACAAACAGAAAACAAAATAAGTCATAACTGAGTTAGCTCTGGGAGAGAACAGTTACAGTCTGCAAAGGCGCAGAAGGCAATCTAGGGTGACAGACATATTTTATGTCTTGATCTGTGAACCACGTGGTAGTTATATGGCTGTAGGTACAGGTTTTTAAAAGGTAAGAGAAAGCAGATTAATTTGGATTGGACAAATGGAACTAATAAAGATAAAAAAGCCATTAAAATTAAAAATTCAATGGGTGGATTAAATAGCAATTAACTTTAGATGATGAGAGACTTCTTTCCATTGGAAACAGATCTAGAATATACCCAGAATGCAGCACAGAACAAGCTGATAAAAAATACGAAGCAAAATGAGAAGATATGAAAGACAATATTAGAAGCTCTGAAATAGGGGTCTTAGAGGGAAAAAAGAAATACCCAGAGTGAGGATGACTTAAAGAGCCAAGAACTATTCCTTAAAAAATTCAGACTCAGATGATTTCAAAATAACTGCCCTTTCAAGGAGCTAATCCCTATCCAATTAAACTACTCCAATCCACAGAGAAAGAATCTGCATCAATTCTTTTTGCAAAGACTCATAACCTGGGATGCCTGGGTGGCTCATTAGGTTAAGCGTCAGACTCCTGATTTCAGTTCAGATCATGAGATCAAGCCCCATGTTGGGCTCCGTGCTAGGCATGGATCCTGCTTAAGATTCTCTTTTCCTCTCCCTCTGCTCCTCACCCTGCACACTAGCTTTCTCTCTCTTGGAAAAAAAAAAAAAAAAAAAAAAAAAAAAAAAAAAAAGGGTCAGCTGGCTGGCTCAGTCAGTTAAGCCTCCGGCTTTTGATTTTGGCTCAGGTCATGATCTTAGTCAGGGTCCTTGGATGGAGCCCAGGGCTCCACGCTCAGCAAAGAGTCTGCTTGAGGAATCTCTCTCCCTCTTGTTCTCCCACCACCACCACCTCCCCCACACACTACACGTGCAGGCGTGCTCTTTCTCTCTCAAATAAATAAATCTTTTTAAAAAATAAATAATTAATTAAAATTAAAATTAAAAGGACCCATAACTTTCATCCAAAACCAGACAGAGAGAACAGACAGAATAATACAGACCAATCTCACTTATAAATATTGATGCAAAAATCCTAAGTTAATATTAGCAAAAATGATTCAGCCTTATATTAAAATAATATATCACCATGACCACATGCAGTATATCTCAGGAATGTAAAAACTGACATTTTTTTAATCCAGTGCTTTAATTTACCATATTAATTGGTCAAGGAAGAAACAAAAACAAAAGCTAAAAAGGAATTTTATGTAATTCACCATCCATTATTAATTTTTAAAAACCTAGAAAAGTAGAAAGAGCACACTACCTTAAAATGATAACTATGTAAGTTATATATTCTGGAAGCATTTTTCTCAAAATCACTAAGGAGAAGAGCATGCCTTTTATAACCATTGTTATGGGCTACTGGCCCAAAAATACTAATAAATGCAGGTAAAGAAAATATTCAAATAATAAGCGATAAGTTAATTCAATACTAATTATGGAAGTTGTGTCAAAATTACCCTTTTTTTAGAAAATATGTTTCAAGTGTATCAGCCTGTGCTAAATCCTGTACATACTCACCTCGCTTAATCTATACAACTCTGAGAGGTAGATGTTAATGTGTCCATTTTCCAGAAGAGGAAACAGTTTCAGTGTGATGGAGTATGTTGCTCAAAGCCACCAACTAAGTAACTGGCAGCATGGCCAACTGATCCCACATCTTTCTGACCCTAAAATTCTGTAAGCTTAGACAAAAGGCTAACGCATATTTCATGTATCTTCCCAGTTCCTCAATTTTCTTTTAAAAAAAGGTTGACCCAACTGTACAATAAACTTCTGAAGGTTTACAGAAAGATCATATTATTACCCCATTTATTCTAACAATAAGTGAGGTAATTTGGCATTTTAAATTAGTAACAAATATCAAATATTTAATTCTAATATGAACCTCTTTAGAAAAATGACCTTGTGAAAGCTTTTCTGGCACAGAAAATTTTTACCTAAAGGAAAATCCAGGCCACTTAATAGCAGGAAAAAAAAATCCTAGCAAATGATTGTGAAATCTAAATATCATTTTCAACCTCTATAATCCCTTTTGCAACTGGCACTTTTGAAAGGTGGCAATAAGGAATCACCCTACAGAGGGTTCTGGAAAATGTCAGGTTTCTCTTTCCAAGCACCGTATGAGTCACTGAGTTTTCAAAACATTGTGACGTGAAGCTTAGCAATAGATCAGGACATCGTTGGGAAGGAATTGCTCTTCCCTAAGAGCTTCAGAAAAACCTGTGAAGAGTTCCTATGGCAAAAGAGATCCCAGGCTCATGTGACCTCACCTTTCTTTGGCACAAGAATATCAAAGCATAATTTCAAGGCTTGGAAAAACAAACAGTGACAGCCACTATTCCTTATCTTCTCTTGGAAGGGACCCCACCAACTTTATTTAGTATAGCATTTTGTACCCTACTGACAGAAAATAATTACTACGGGTACTTTCTACTTGATTGAAGAAACCACTTTTCTCTTGGAGACATAGTAAAACAGGCAGGTTAACATAGTAGTAACATAGTAAAACAGACAGGTTGAATTTCTGGGTCCTTATTTTATTACCAGGGCCTTGGCTGGCTTCTTTTCAGTATTTAAATTCAAGAGTACAAGTGTTGGTTAGTAGCACTCTGAAGGTCAGTGAGGTCTCAAAAACAGTACTCTAGTCTATAAAGTGATTTTGTCATGTCTCCTTAGACTCAGGTTAGTAGAGATAGTTAACGAATAGTTAAAGGAATCTGTGGGTCTATACCTTTCCCCCTTCCCACCTCCACACCCAGCTCAGATCCTTTGGACCATCACCCAACCAAAACCAGCCCACTATATGAATAAGAACTGACAACTGATCAACCACCACATTCTACCTCTGAAACTGATAATACACTATGTTAATTACATTGAATTTAAATGATTTTTTTTTAAAAAAAGAAGAAGAATCCAAGATTTATTAAGTACTTACTACAGGCCAGTCACTATCCTGAGCACTTTAATAGAGATGGTGTCATCCTGTCCTCCAGACAATTCTGAGTTTCTTATACCTGAGTGAGCAAGAGGGTCTCCAGGGGAACTTTCAAATGGGCATTATTTTATTATAACTATTTAAACCTTCTCATTAAAGATATTTTCATTTGGGGGCCAAAGATTTTATATCTTATTCTACCCTCGCTCAATAAAAGCCTGGGGGGACATAAAATAATGTTACCAGGTGTTTCTCATGCAGATGAACAATGGAGTAACAACTGTCCCTCTGAGACACTGTCCAGTAAGAAAAGCATGGGATTTGGGATCAGATGTTCTGAGTTTGTTGTAACTTTTCATCTACTGGGTATTTGATTTTGGATAATTCATTTAGCTCTGCTCTAATGGACTCATGTGTAAAAGGAAGAAAACAACCCAGCATGACTGCATCAAGCATTAAGTCAATGTTTTTCAGAGCTTAGTATATGCAGACTCTCTCCATCTATTCTTTGGGTAAATGGAGAGATGGACAGATCGGTGAGTCCCCTTGCCACTCTCCCAGATTGCCCACTTTTTCTCTTCTCGATTGATATGTTGATCTTGTTCCTTTTCTTCAAACACACCAAACTGTTTCCTTTATATTTGTTCTTGAGCCGCCTGAAGCACTCTTCCCGCCCCAACCCCCCACACCCCAATGCCGGTTCATCACCTGACTAGTCCTTTGTTCAAACTCCACCTTCTTAAAGAAGCCTTTTCTAAACTGTATATAAAATTGCCAATTCCTGGCCCCAGTTACTTTCAATACTTACTCTCCTGCTTATTCCCCTTCTAAGTCTTGATACACACCGTTGATAACCACATAATGTATTACTTATTTACTTGCTTGCTCACAGCTTCCCCCACAAAATACCTAGGTGCAGGGGCTTTGTTTTTTCACCTAGATGTACATTAAAAGGTTGTGATTGTTCTTAATGCCTCCCTTCCTGACTTGCTGATCCACACCTCTGAGCTGGCATAAGTTTGAGGAGCTGAGCACGCAAGTTGAATGGATTCTTCTGCACGAATGGTGCTGATGGTTATCCTTAAAGAAATGTGGTGGCCTAATTTCAAGGACAGTGAGGGGTTACTTGGTATGTAAATAGATACATATATCAAAAAGAAATATTCTCTAAACTCACTGGAATAGATAAATAAGAAGAGTTACATTGTCATTCCCATTTCATGATAACAAAAAAAAAAAGAGTGTATAACATGCTGTTTTGATTACTAGTTTATGTAACAGTTTTATTAAACTGATTCCCAAGCAATATGTTCCAAAGTGGTTTATATGAGGACACTAATAAAGCAGCATACCAAGCAAATAGACCAACCGTTATTGGGGCTGCTAACATGAATCGTTTCCATTGTCATTTTGAAGACTGTCCAAATTCTTACATCTAATATGGCTCAGGAAGTCCAAGAGTTCGAAATTCACAAGTCTAGTCAGAGGCAAGGTCATTAAAATGCCAGGACTTCACTCTTTATCTAGAGAGTACTTTCAAGGACTACACGGATTTGTACTTGATCAAAGCAGCAGACAATTGGGAAAAGCATCAGCCTAATACTTTCTTCACTTGTTTGAAGGCACCTGACAAACTTTGTTTTTAGGAGAACGGGAATTGCAGAAATGTCTTTATCCACAAACAAAACGCTCATAAGGTCTAGAAGGAACTTAACAGATGTTTACTTAAAAGTGAACAGATATCCTTGAATTGCTTCCCAGTTGCATAAATTACCCTGATATGCAACATAAACAGATTCTAACAGAATTCTTAAAGTCTTATAGTCAAGAAAATCATAAGATTTTAATAGTTTAGCTCTGTTCTACATTTCTTACTGGTCTCCTCAAGAGTGGTGCACAAATTAGTCTTCACTCTTAAAAGAACAAATGGGTAAATTTTAGAACAGTTAAGAAAACACATGTAACTTTTAGTTGATGGTAGCAAAATAGTGATTAAACAAGTAGGCCAATAAAATAAACCTTAAGTAGTAGTAAACAGGTTCTTAAAAAATTAATTGATTTCCTGAACAAATTTCTCAAGGTAAATTTAAATGTTCATATTTGGGCCATAATATGAGAAGAGGAAGATCGATAGGGAGAGTAATTGATATCAATCAATAATAAATAGTTGACCCTTGACCAATTTGAAGGAGTGCTGACCCCACACGCAGTTGAAAATTCATGTATAACTTTTCACTCCCCCCTCCCAAAATTTACTAATTTAACTTCGACAGGAAGCCTCAGGGATGACATAAGCAAGTATGTTACCATGTATTTTATATGTTATATGCATTATATACTGTATTCTTACAATAAAGTAAACTAGAGAAAAGAAGACTTTATTAAGAAAATCATAAGGACTGATGTAATGAGCACAGGGTATTATACAAGACTGATGAATCACTGAACTCTACCTCTGAAATTAATAATACATTATATGTTAATTAATTGAATTTAAATTTTGAAAAATAAAAAAAAAAAACAGAAAATCACAAAGAAGAGAAAACACATTTATAGTACCGTACTGTATTTACTGAAAACAATCTGCCCAGAACTGGACCCATGCAGTTCAAACCCATGTTGTTCAAGGGTCAGTGGTATTTCCCTGTCACAATAAATACCACAGTCAGCTCTGATTCTTCTCCCTCGCATTACTGATTCTGTGTAACATTCCTTTTGTATATATTTGCTTATTAACCCCAGACCTCATCCCTTCTCTAATTAATATAATAGTTTCCAGTATCCCCTTCTGCCAATCACAGAGTTCTGGAGCCCAAGGAACTCTACTCAGAAATGCAATTCCCAAAGCCATCATAGCCCCTGCTTCCTGACCAGTCCTACTGAATCAGATTTAGCGTGTCTGTCTACTGAAAACTGCCCCCCCACTCCTTTGCTGAGCATGTAAGGCCCTCTATGCGTTTATTTTTCAAGTCCCTGACGTGGTTTTCAGCCTTACCTTTTCCTTGCATTGTTCCAAAGTATTTTTTCAGCACTTCTGTCATTTGAGCTGTGATCAGCCAGAGGCTTAGGACACAAAGATAAAGAAGCTGGAGGCTTGCCCTCCAGCAGCCCTCAGACTCTTGAGGGGTGAGTGGTGGAGGGGACAAGTACATGAATAATGCATGTGTTGAGAAGAGTGATGACAGGCTGCCCAGGCAACCTTGGACTCAGGCGCCCAGTCTGGCCATCTTATTGACCTTGCTTCATCAATGTTAGTTCTTTCAGTTCTGTGCTAAAACGTGGCCCACTCTGGCCAGTACTCCACAGTTTCGTCCCTGATGTTTCCTTTCTGTGGAATGGCCTTTTTTGGTTTTCTGCATCCCCCAAATATATCTGGTGGGAAGACTGGATCAGACGTCAACTAATCCACGAAGCTTTCCTTACTGTCTTTGTCTTAATCTCTCTCATTTGAATTCTTAAGGCACTTTGTTTGTAGTTCCCTTTCTCATTCTAATCACATCCTTGCTTGTATTGGAGTTCATTATCAAAGTCTTGTTTCTTTTACTACAACTGTCTGCCTTTTCAGGACAGCAACTATGATTTTATATACATAAACCTAGAAAAGGAAAAAAAAAAAACCTTCACAAAAGAGTGAAAAGGTGTTCAATGAATCTTCCCCAAGCTAAAAGAATATGGAATAAATTGTACAGTAAACTCAATTGTAAAATAGAACAATGAGGGGATTAACTATACAAATTGATCCCCACACACTTAGAGTAAATCTACTACATAAATTACTGTAAAAATTAATGTCAGTAGAGATGAGAGCTGCCACTAACAGTTAGCAACCTGGGCTGAAAGGGGTTAAGCAGATCTATCCACAATGGGAAAAAATTCTTCATTGCCTTTATTAAAGACTAATTTTAGGTCTTTTGGTAATTAAATGAACACACTGTTTATGCTCCATACGCTTTCTGCCCTGAGTCTTGGAAAATACGTGAAATTTCCAAGAATTAAAGTTTCCATTAACACAAGTGCCAAATCAGGAGGACTGACCTGTGGGAGAAAGCACATTTGCCTTTCCTGGAGCCTATTCAAAAAACTATAGAAAGATATTTACTATATAACCTTTCTTGTGCGCAATTGCTCTGTTTTATCATTCAGACCATCTAGACAAGATCAGGAAACTGCAACATTTCAGAAAGCAATCAAGTACAGAAGAATGACCACTTGAGTTCTAAAGTGTTGACAGTGATCCCTTTTTGGGGCAAACTTTCTCATTGGAAGAAACCTCGGCTTTTTTTTTTTTTTTTTCTTTCTTTCTTCTTTCTTTTCGGAGGCGGGGGTTGGGGTGGTCGTTGCATGCCAGTTTGTGTGTGTGCGCGCACGCTTCCTTGGTTAATTCCCTGAGAATTAGCTTTGACTGGTGAAGAAACACTTTACTTAGAGTGGGTTCCAAACATCTTCCACCTGCATAAGACCCACTAGATGGAAATTTAATGTAAATAAGCGTGTGCACACAGCTTGAACACCTTGGAAAACTGTTTTCTGATCCCTATATCTGGTTTTATTCAATCTTAAGCAGCCCAGTGATCTACCCAGATTACAAAATAAAAAATAAATTCTCTTTACGTCAGTGAACTTGGACTCTAAGTTCTCTCTCCTGAGCAGGGAGCCTTTTAAAGACCAGCGAGTACGCTGGCAGCTGGGGGTCGCAGCTCCTGGGAAACGGCTAGTTCTACAGGTCCCGCCCTCCGCACCCTCTCCTTGCCCCTCCCTCTGGCCGGCTCCCCACCTCCACGGGATGCGCCTTACCCACTCCCCTCCCGGCGCCACCTCGCCGACTTCAGCTGCCTCGGAGGTCTCACACGCGTCAAAGCCGGAACTGGGAGGCTGATTTGTGGAGATCTTCTCCCTTCTCCCCCCGGCCCCTCCTCCGTCCAGAGCGAGGGCCCCGGGAGCAGAGCCTAGCAGGGGGAGGGGAAGATCCACACCCATCCCCCTTCCTCTAGCCCTCCCGCGTTCAGATGCAATTGCACCTTTTATTATTTTAACTCTTCTCCCTAGGAGGCGCGGCCCTGGGATCTGTCCCTCCGGCGTCCGCGGACCCTGTGCCCGCGTGCCGGGATGGGAAAGCGAGGGACCTGCCCGCGGTCGGCCGGCGTGTGCGGGGAGGTGCAGCCGCCCGGCCCGCTGCTCAGAGTCTGTAAGTTTCAACGCTCCTCCCGGGGAGGGGAGGGGGAGGCTGTTCGCATCCCCGCAAATGCTTTTAAAATGCCAAACATTGCAGAGGTTTACAATGTTGAATGGACTTTCCGGGGCACACTCTTAACCCCATCTGCAGCTCGCAGGCTGTTGTCCGGGCTTTTCCTGCAGCTTCTGTGTTTGATCCCTTCCCCTGTAAAGTTTTCAGTTTATACTAGTATGAATTCCACTGGGAATTCATAATTTTTTAAATGCAATTCATACTTCTTTAAAACTTAAGGTACTTCATCATTTTCAAGTTACGGAGCACATCGCTTATTATTATTATTATTTTGTCAAATTTCACTAAGCATGTTATTTATACTGCGCAAGAGGCCACGGCCTTTTCTTTGCGTACTTCTAAAAATAACGGAGGAAGAATTTACTCTCTTTACTTTTCATATTACTGTATCGTCTAGATAATAAATGGCTCGTGATACCCAGCTGGCTTTAATTTTCATCATCGACGCCGCGTGTTTGTATTTTTGCACTCATCTACAGACGCGGTTAATCTCAGAAGTAGTGTTGAGCCTGCTGTTTACAGGAAGGCTCCTGGTTTTGTTTTACTCAGACTATGCCCATATGTGTTCAAAACGATAAGGAAAATTGGAACAGTTCCGACTCAGACCAAATTTCTCCGCGATCCCGGAACTCAAGCACAAACTAGATTCGTGTTTAGAGTAGTAAAGTCATACCTTACTTTGCATGTCACCTGGCACGTATAGCCATATCCTTGAGTGCAAGAACTGAAGAGGTGAGGAAGTGGGGGAGGGGAAAGTTTTAAATCGTTTCGCTTCTGCAGGAGGACTTTCCGAGGGAAGGAGAGGCAGGTCCGAGACTGGTGAATAGGCTGGCTATGGTGACGGGACGATGTTGGCCAGAAAGAGCATCATCCCCGAGGAGTATGTGCTGGCGCGCATCGCCGCGGAGAATCTGCGCAAGCCGCGCGTGCGAGACCGCCTCCCCAAAGCTCGCTTCATCGCCAAGAGTGGGGCGTGCAACCTGGCGCACAAGAACATCCGTGAGCAAGGACGGTTCCTGCAGGACATCTTCACTACCTTGGTGGACCTGAAATGGCGCCACACGCTGGTCATCTTCACCATGTCGTTCCTCTGCAGTTGGCTGCTCTTCGCCATCATGTGGTGGCTGGTGGCCTTCGCCCATGGGGACATCTACGCTTACATGGAGAAAAGTGGAACGGAGAAAAGTGGTTTGGAGTCCACGGTGTGTGTGACTAATGTCAGGTAAGAATGCAGTGGGATGAGGCAGGGACTGACAACAGGACAGAAAGAAATACTAAACTGCCCTTTCTCTCCTATCACAGTCATTTTGTTGAAAGCGAAATAAAGCGCTTTAGTACCTTCAGCCACGAAGAAGGAAAAAAAATCCTAATCTAACACAATAAGAATCTTTAAATGCAGCTTTGTGGATGAGGAAGCTCTGAAAATGTGGAGTTTCAATTTCTCTGGTTAACTTTAAAAATACTGTGTCAGTAATTTAAAGAATGGTTGTGGTTCAAAGGATTCCACAGCGCGCTTTACTCAAAAAAAGCACCCATTTCAGTTTTCATTGCGGAAAAAGCTGCTGTCCATAGTTCTGGTGTCCACAAGTCGATCGACAAAAATATTGTGCAAATTTTAGTAATATTTTCCCTGACTTCTCTTACGCGTGACATTTTCAGAAATCGTGAGAAAAATGGGAAAAACTGGTGTAGAGGTATCCTAGATTAAAAATCCATTAAAAATGAAATAAATGGATATAAGCCCTTCTTTACCAAGATTATCTTAAATATTTGGTTGCTTGCATTGGATTAAAATCTTATGCTAAGATGCAGAACTAGAAAAAAAAATTAGTTTTTAGTGGAAATTGGTCCAAGTTTTTCATGGAGGAGATTATATAGAAGTGACGTAATGTGGTTTTCTTTACAAGTTTTAATAGAACAGGAAAAAGACAGTCCTCAGACTGCCTAATGTTTGCTTCTTTCTCTTATGTTGTGTTCCAAAAGTAAGTAGAATGAATTTGATTTCAGTCATTCTCACATTTTCACAGGGCCTAAGAACATTTAGTTGGGGTGATCTGTCTTTTCATTTGTTTTGTTGGAAGACAGAAAGAGCTCATTTATATCAACTGCATAAATATTCACTCTGAAGCGAAACAATGGTAATAATACTGGAAACTTTGCCAGAATATTTTCTGAGTACTATTCCAGATTCACATAGTGTACAAAGCGAAGCAAGTTGAACAAGCACGATTCTGCCAGGCAACTGTAAAGCATGAGACCTTTCCTGAACCCGAAATCTTCTGAAATTAGCATACCACTGCGAGAAGCAGAAACCCAGACTATGAACTGGTCTGTCCTTAGTAACCGCAATGCCAACGTATCAGGGAGGGGTGCAGCATTTGTGTGCCGAGATCACACATCACAGATTTCAGCTCGGATTTTGAGGAAAGAAAAATATATTTAATTGATCCATTGCCTTTATCATCAAGTAGATATTATTTTTTTGTCTTAACTTTTCACAAAATTTGTCTCCAAGAAAATACAGATGAAAAATGGTGGTGGTCATCAGCATACCAGATACAATGGAAACGATTAAAACACTGTGTTTGACAGACATTTGTAGGCTACATATCATTATCTATAATATTCCTCTTAAGAAATTTATGGGCACTAATATTGGTGAATCACTTTCATATCAAGATAAATGTTTAATAAACATATGATAGACCGTCATAAAATGAGATAAAAGAAACAACAATGATAAGCCTCGAAAATAAATGGCATATTTTAATTACAAGACAAATATGTTGGCTTTTCCTGTGAAAGAGGAGTCATAAAGCAGTTTATTAAAGATGTATCATCAAAAGTGG